ATATATGGTTATACATATATATCCACCCCTCTGCTAGTAAAAAAAGCATTGCCATGGCGATGAATGTTGGCACATGCCGTTGCCGGGAGCGATGATCCTACCTAACCTCATATATCTAGATGTAATTATCACGAAGCTATTTCCGTCGTCTTCTTCACATTCTTCATTGTCACAAAGTACAAACGTTAAAAAAGTGTTCGAATTAAAATGTTTGTCTTTGTAAACAACCTGTCGAATCAAAACGAGTGATTCCACCAACGTCCATCAACAAAGAAGTGGATATTTACCTAGATTCAGTTTTGTCTCACTTCTGTGGTCGTTATGGTTTTAACACTTTCTCAGGAACGATTCCTGACGAGTGTTTGGCCTCAAACAGAGCAAGTTATATTAAACTGTCAGTGACCGTAGCAACAGCACTGACGCTTCAGAGCTGATCACAAGTTACTACACTTTATAAACATCACGGAGGATTTTAATACCTGACTGTAAATCAGGTTTTCATGTCCTCGTCGATAAATAATGTCCACAAGCCTTCAAAATAAAACTCTTGTGGCTAACGGTTGGCTAACTAAACAGTTTTATATCAATGGACTCAAAGTGACTCGCTAGCCGAGCAATATTAATGCTACAAACATCCCATAATGCAACACTGCAGAAGCATGGTGGTCGTCTTAAAAAAGAAATCTACCAAACCCCTCCTGAAGGTCTGCAGACAGAAACGTGTCCTGTTCATTCTGTATCAGTTGATCTTCATATTGATAAACTATTGATCGACTGTTATCAATGTTCATGCATCAAATCAAACTGCAGCAGATCAGCTCAAGAGAAAATGTGATGATAGAACACACCCCCCCCCCCCCTGCACATAATTACCATGCATAGTCTCTCGCCCTTGTCTGCAGCGTTCCCTCGTTTCTGATCTGCTTTAATTACTACCGGAATTTTAATTGGCGGGAGACAGCAAGGTGGCTGAGGTCACTCTCTCTCTCTCTCTCGCACACACACACACACACACACACTCACAGGCAAGCTGGCAGTCTGACAGCCTATTGGGTAAAACTGGGGGGATCATTTGAGGTGAATGTGTATGTGGGTGTTTCTGTGTGTGTGTGTGTGTGTGTGTGTTATCGGCAAGGAATACTGCTGCAGTGCTGTGTGGTGAATGAAATGGATTTAATCTGGATTTCTCTTCAAACAAAGCTCTGTTGGCATTTCTGACATATCAGGTTTTCGGCAAACATCAACGATATTAATGTAATAATGCCTTAATTAGATTAAAGGGAATTGAATATAGATCTTTTTATGGAGAAACACTGAAACACAGAAGACAATGATGAACGAAGGGGAAAACGCTGCATGAATAAATCTGAAGCAGAGACGTTCTCATTGAATTTACTTTTTTATTATTAATATGAAAATATGATGATAATACAAATGATTTGATGTAGAGTACTGGACGTTTGATTTATTGTCCAGTCAGTTAGGTGGAGCTGAACTTGTGGAAAATATGGTGAAAGATTTTTTTATATTATTTCAGTGACGTGAGAAGAGTGACTTTGGAGTTCCACAGGGGTTAATCCTGGGTCCTCTGTTATTGTCATTCTACGTGGGTGACTTTTTGTCGGGGCGCAGCCTCGGCTCCTGTGAATGTGCCGATGACGGTCAACTACACCATGCTGTGTAATTCCTGCAGTGATGGCAAAGAGTCCCGTACTTTAACATGTGCGTCAGATTGGAGGTTTTGCCCCAAAGCTAAATGCTTTCAAACTCGCACACTGTGACAAAGAGCTAATTAATATCATCGTATTAAAGCGATAACGACGTTTAAAGGGGAGGTGTATTTTTGTGGCTTTTGTTTGTTGATTGATAAAAGAACAAGTTGAAGTTGAATGGTTGTCATGCTTTAATCTGCAGGTTTGGTTTTAGTCTGAAAAGCAGCGTCACCTCCTCCAATTCATCCTCAAGCACAAAACAAGCGCTTTCATATGGAAATGGACTAATTGATTTCGTAAAATCCACATTAAAGCCGTGTATAATTGTGCTTGCTGTTTTGGAGCAATTAAAGCAGAATTTTGCCAACAGTTAATGACTATTATGGGATTTGCGTAATTGAGGCCCCGGTTGAATAAGCTTTGGGTTTTTTTTGTCAGCAGCTGATTCTCCTCCTCAGTGAGAGTGAAAAAGAAAATCCTCTTCAGCGTCTCAACATGTGAACCACAAGCACTTTGACCTCTGACCTCACCCACAGAGCCGACCTTCGTGATAATGATGTTGCCTCCTGACAGTCGACTCTTAAACTATTCTCTGCGTTTCTCTTGGAACTAGAAAACGTCTCTATATAAGAATGACGTGAAACTCAGACCAGTTCTCTCTGTTGTCTTATCTTTAAAACCTTCATATGTTTTCATGTTGATAGAAACAACTGAGTCAAATGAATTATATGGACTCGTATTTTTTACTGTTTTGTGATTTATTAGATATTTATTATATTAACAATAATCCTTTTGGTTTTAATTGTGGGCCCAAAACAATGACCTCTCGTCGCAGCACAAATGTCACACAATGTGATGTTTCAATGTTTCAGCCAAAAACACAAGAGCACTGAATAAAGTGCATCCCTCTACTTATGAAAGAATATTTAATCCAGATTTTTATTTGTATCTGCACCGAATTTTTAAATCAAGATCCTGAATTATTCTATAAGAAATAATTAGAAAAAAAAAAATGTTAAAGAAAATTAAAAAAAGATTCCCACTAAAGTCTAAAGAGTTCTCCTCTGACCCACACCTCATGAAAATAGGTTCTGTATGTTTTGTGTTTTCTTTCTGACGAACGTCCTCAGCAGAGGTAATAACTTCGTGGCATCATGTTGTAAAAAGCGTTGGCTGATTGCTCCATTGTCTCTGTGAGAACTCACCCAGATTGTGTTTTTCTTGCTGGCACCGATGCTCCCAGCACATAGCTTTACTATTTACATGATTAAAAACTCAGACAGCTGTTGGTTTACCACAGCCTCCAGTCTCCTGTGGATTTAATGTCTCTAGTCTGGATTCATCCAAATATCAATGGGTCTGTGCTGCTCCATCCCTTCTTCCACTGACAAGTAAAATGGCTTAAATCAGGGACGCACTTTCAACTTCATTGAAACGATGGAGGAAATGTGCACAGCAGTGGACGTAAATAATTTATAGCAACATTTTTGTGACATTTTTTTTTCTCGTATAAAAGACCTTCAGCCTTAATGCGATCTTTGCAGCTTCAAGGGAACAAGACGTCCCGCTGTGACTCTTTAATATTTATACTGGGACTCGTGTTTTTCTCTTTGGGACAATTTCAAATGTGACATTGGTAGAATTGCTGTTAAGTTGTTCGAGGACAAGCACAACAGTAAAATACATCGATTTCTCGATATACTGAGTTATATCATTCAAGTCCCACTCCAGTAAACCCCCCCCCCCCCCCCCCCCCCCCCTCACAGCGCCACCCGCGGTCAAAGAGCCTTTTCCAGCTACTGAGCTCCACCCACATGTTGATAGGATTGGTTTCTTCGGCTTGTGACATCACAAACCCTGACTGTTTGAATCATTTCTTTTAATACGTTTGTTTACTGTGGTGTCAAGGTGGAAATAATCAAAATATGTCTTTTTTATATCTACTGAAAAGACCTTTAGACTTAATGCAATCTTTAATATTCACATTGGAACTCATGTTGTTCTCTCTGGAACAATTTCATGAATTGCTCTGAAGTTGCTTGAGAACATTACAGAACAATATTCACTCATTTCTTGGATAAACATCTAAAATAGTGTAAAACTGTGTAACACACAACATATATAGCGTATATAGACAATTTCACAGTCGAATGATCATAATAAGACAATCTGGGTTGTGTTGATAGCAGAATAATATTTGTGATCTCTTCCATCGAACAGATGTGGAGCTCAACTTTTATCAGTCCAGCTGTGACCTTTTGTCTAAAAAACCAATAATTCTGAAAGGCCAAAAATCAAACATGACCAAGCCAGCCAGCCAAGCGGAGCTCTCATCTGAATGTCGGTGGGTTTCTGGCTGCGCTGTATTCAGTGTTAGCCAGCTCTGGCCCGCATGTGTCTGCCAGAGTTGGCTCAGTTCTCCAGACTTATTTGACCTGAGAATCAGCTGCAGTTAGCAGTGGGAGGCAAAGCTCTGGGCCACTGGAGTTAAAGATAAAATCACGCAAATGATCACTAGTGGATATGAGAACAAAGATGGCCGCTGATCATGTATGCGCCCTCTGTCTCGCCTCAGTGTCTACGGCTGCCCGCTGGCCAAGAAGAGGAAGGCTCTGGAAAAACAGCCGCTGGAGCCGGCTGCCAAGAGGAGGCCCTTTCTCACCTCCTGCCCAGGCGAGGAGGAGGAGGAGGAGGAGGAAGCCAGCGTCTACACCAGCTACGAGAACGAAGCCATAGAGGCAGGGGAGGTGGGGAAGGAGCAACGGGAGGTAGCGGAGGATGACGAGGAGGAAGAGGATGGGGAGAGAGAGGGAGATGAGGAGGAGGTGGAGGATGAGTTCTCAGAGGACAACGAGGAGCAGGGCGATGAGGAGGAGGAGGAAGAAGATGAGGAGGTAGAGGTGGAGAGGGCGGATACGACAGTAGGAGGGGAGCGGGCGGAGGAGGAGGAGGAAGAGGAGGAGGAGGAAGGGATGGATGACGAGGAGGAGGAAGTGGATGATGGTGATGATGAGGAGGAGCAGGAGGACGAGGGAGAGGAAGATGAGCAAGAGGACGAAGAGGAGGAAGAGGAGCATAATCATCAGCAAGGTGAGTCACAAACATCTGATTGTTCTTTTTCTTTTTTATCATCTATACTGCTTCCAGCCACCAGGGGACTATCCAAGTGTTTGGTCTTCACTTTTTGTCATTTCTTTAAACCTGTTTGTACCATTTCTTTAAACCATGTAGTTCCCCACCTTGTAACGTCTGTGAGATTGTGTAGAAAAAGAAGTTTACGATCGATCTCTCCACATTAAGTCAGTTTAAGTGACGTTTGTGAACTTAATAGATTGTGTTTGAACGCTTCACTCGCTCATTGAGAGGAGAAAGGACGGGGGGAGGCTTTAGAGGGCGCTGTTTCCCTCTGCTCCTCGATCTGCTGCACTTTGATTTGATGCATTAAGATTGGGGGGGTCTCATACTAAGCCCTTGACTGCACTATAATAATACAAATGGAGTCCAGTGGCAGGCTCAATTACTACAGGTCACTTTTACAGTTTCAGAAAGAAAACTGTAACGTGCACCAGCACTGGTCGAGAAAACAGACAGTCACATCTAGAACCGACTCTGGTGTTGAAAAAGTTTAAAAGAATTGAATCGCATGTTTGTTGGAAATGGGAAATGAACAGTGACGTTCAGAGTCTGATGCACACAGTCGTCCTCAAGTCTCCACTCATCCAAGAGTCATAATAACAAAGCCTGTTCTTCGTCACATTACTAGAAATGCTCTCTGCAGAGGGCAGTGTCTTGGATTTGTTTTCCAGATGCCAAACATCTGGTAAGATCTCCTCGTATTAGAATTTTTCTAAAAACAGAGATTTAAAACACGTACGGAGCCACAGGGACGTCAGTGTAACAGCTAACTGAACGCAGCCGTGCTAGACGGTGTCTGGAGGCCCGGCTCACATCCAGCTCCAGTTCTGGGTCAAACCGGTGTCCACCCTCGGCTGCAGTGTGCGTCTGCAGTGGCAGAGAGAGGAGTGATGCTGAGCAGAGTCGCTGGTAGACCAGATGCTCGGCGCTCTCCCTCCCACCACGTTTCCCTCGATTCCCCCCCAACACCCCCCGTGTCCTCAATCGCTTCTGACAGCGCTTCACGAATAATCGGGAGAGGAGCTCTGCTGAGTTATTAACTCTCACCCTCCTCCCCCCTCCCTGTTCCCCGCCTCGTCTCGGCGGACGTGTCACATGCGCTCTGCCTCGGCTTCTCCTCCTGAGGATATTTATGGCTCCTGAATCGGAGCACCTCACACGCCTCCCTTTTCAATTTCTCTGCTCTCATTCGCCGTCTCTGTCCCCAAAATCAACAGCGAGGCTTAGCGGGGAGAGCGGCGCTGCTCTGCACAGCTCTGGGTTGTGTGTTTTCTGTGGGTAAACAGTGGATGATGATTGGGAGGGATGCAGATAATGTATTCAGGAATATGAGAAGAAAGTGGGTTCATCAGTGGAGTTGATCAGAGGATGTAGAAGCTTTGTTTCCTTTTCATCTGCAGGATTTTCTTCTTTTAATAAATGACTTTATCTACAGAATGAATCCATCGTCTGTATTTTGGACCAATTACCTGCTGTTTATGTTGTTGAGGAAACTAAGCTAATGGGTAAAAACCGGCTTTGATGTGAGACAGGTTTTTTGTCTTTAAAAGGTTTTTCCTCCGTCTTTTTTTTCTGATAGTAGAGAACCACTATAAACCCGGTGGACAATCAAAGCTCCTTCCAGGCCAGAAGGACGACAACAACAACAGCTGCACCATCGGCGCCGGAAACAGCACCGGAGAAGATTACGAGAACTACGACGAATTGGTCGCCAAGTCGCTGCTCAACCTGGGCAAGATCGCCGAAGACGCCGCCTACCAGGCCATGACTGAGTCCGAGATGAACAGCAACTCCTCCAACAGTGCCGGAGAGGATGAGGAGGATGAGGAAGATGACGGCAGCGAGCGCGGTGACAGGAAGGGCGAGCTGAGCGTGGACCTGGACAGCGACGTGGTCAGGGAGACGGTGGACTCCCTGAAGCTCCTTGCGCAGGGTCACGGCGCCATGCTGCCCGAAGACGGCTACCCAGAGGGCGTCATGGTGGACGACTGCGGCCACGCTAACGGGCGGCCCGGCCTCGGGGTCAGGGTTCATGCGGACGAGAGCGAGGAGGAGGTGTGTCTCAGCAGTCTGGAGTGTCTGAGGAACCAGTGCTTCGATCTGGCTCGGAAGCTGAGTGAGACACAGCCGTCGGATCGCCCCGCCCTCCACGCCCTCCACCAACAACTCCAACACCAGACAGACCAGCACATGATGCATCACCAGAACAGGTGTGTACGTCCTCTGATCTCTTTCTCACATCGGTATTTAGAGATGAGCGATTCTGCAGGTAACACTTGGTAATTATAATTAAATATAATATATTTATTTTAAATAAATAACACAGCATGAAAGGTTCATCGTTAACTTTCCACGGTTCGTCCCATTCTTGAGACGTGATACTTAAAGAACGCCTTCAGGGAATTTCTTCACATTTGGTCCAAAAGTTCAGTGGTTGAAGGTCAAAGGTCACATTGAGCTGAGTCTGTAAATAAAATGTCTGCAGATTGAACCTTCACTGGTCGGTGGAGGGAAACACCCACAGGGCGAATAACTGTAGTTGTTTAATCAAAAGATAAAATAAATGATAAATAAATCGATGTGTCGGACGACAAATCAAATGTTTGACTCTGTATCGCTCCAGACTTCATCTTAATATTACTGTCGCAATGAAACATGGCCGACATGAGACGTTGGGTTACGTGTATAACAGACGATTTTAAATTCTCTCACAGGCTCTTAGAACAGATTTGGATCTTTGGTGACTGACACCTGCACAGTCAAATTTTTTATCCCACTGTCAGGTACGAGAGCTGCCAGCAGGGGGCGCTGGACGAGCCCAGGTCCCTGGAGCGCAGCTACTCCGACATGGTGAACCTGATGAAGCTGGAGGAGCAGCTGAGCCCGGCGTCCAGAGGTTACCCCACCAGCTGCAGCCAGGAGGGCGACGAGGACACCACGTCGGTGGCCTCCGACCGCTCGGACGAGACCTTCGACATGGCCAAGGGAAATCTGTCGCTGCTGGAGAAGGCCATCGCTCTGGAATCAGAGAGGGCAAAGGTCATGAGGGACCGGATGGCCTCAGAGCACGCGCTGCCCCGGCGTGATCACCACCACCACCACCACCACCATCACCACGGCCACGGAGAGCACAGCTCCAGGCTGAGCAGCGGTGGAGAGGAGCGCAAGTCCAGGATGCACCACGACGGGTTGAAGAGGGCGTACTACCCTAAAGGTAAGCAGAGAAACCCACACACTGACCTCTACTGAGTTAGTATTGATCCAGCAGAGTGGTTAGACCATATTTTGATTTTCCAGGTTTGTGGTCACTGCTGCAACAAAACGTCTCATGTTTCCAGTCGTCTGATAAAATTTCCGTCACCTCTCGCTGATGTTTTGACCCCTGACCTGTAACAAACAAGTCATGAAATACATTTGCTCTCAAAACAGTACTTCAGTTCTTTCTGCCGTGTTTTCTTCATTCTGCCGTGTCTGACATTAGGGAACGATAAAACTTTTCTTTTTTTAATCCCAGGACTATTTTTACCGTGATGTCTGGACTTCCTGTGGCAGATTTATTTCTGTCAGTCCGTCAGTGTGCAGCTCCATCATCCAACCACCTCACTAATCACAGCAGGAGTTTGTTCATTTAACAGTCACAGTCACACACAAGCTGCTTTCAGACAGGAAGCAGCAGATTGTCGACTCGTTCACAACGACAGGAACATGTGGGGCACATTCAGGCGAGGGGCGGAGCCTGTAGAGCAGCAGGAGGCGGGACATGACGTATAAATTGTGCTGTGGAAAGATCAGTGTTGTTGTTTGTTTCTCCTCGTCTTTCCAAATTGACGCCTCACGTCTCCGTCATGTGTTAGAAACCTCATCAACACGTCCAATCGCTCACTGGGAAGTTTCCAGATGTTTTACCAGGAGGCTGCAGGAAAATATCGGAGCAACTCAGACTTAAGTAAATGTCTGAGAGCAGCTTAGGTCTTGTTTGATTTGTCATCTTTTTAAAATGTGAAGGATGATTTCAGGACACATTGTTCATTGTGTTACAAACGTCATCGACACCTTCACTCGCTCGTTGAGTCATTTTCCTTCTCTATTCTCACATGGACTCATCCGGACATGTTACCAGGGGGCTGCAGGAAAACTTCTAGGAAACTTCCAGAGCAACGGACTCTGATATTTTACACTCTCACTTACAGCCCCTCTGGAAAATTTCAGGAAAACGTCCAGACTTTGGTCTGAAAGCAGCTTTTGAAGATAAAAACTCAACAAAGACTTGTTTGTTCTCAACAACAGATACTGAAAATGGCATTTGTTTGAATTGTATTCATAAAGTCATCATCTGATCAGTTTCATCTCCAAACGCTGCCAATTTCACATCACCTCTTCATATTACATTTGACCCGAAGCAGCTTTTAATCCAAAAATCTGAACCCAGGTCAGCAGGGAGGAAGTTTATCTTGTGAGTCTGACTTATTGTAACCTTCACTGCTGCAGCAGCCTGAGGCGTCACTTCTGGATCATGAAAAAAACAACACACAACTGTAACTTTAATATCTGTCTCTCTCCCCTGATCCCAACATTTCTCTGCACATTTCTGGCTTGAATTAGTTTTCTAACCTCTGGGCTCTTAAAACCTGTTATTTCAGAAATGCTGTGCACGGCTGCCGAGGAGATAATGGGCGCTCATTTTCTGCATTCAGGACCAACGCGGTTTTGTTTTGCAGATGCACGGTTCTTCTCTGACAGCAGCTTATGTTGTTAAAAGAGGCCGGTGTGGGAACATCAGATGGCCGGCCTGTCAGGCATGAGTAATGGCAATCTGCACGGCCTGTTAGGAGAGCAAATCTCATCTGCGGCCTATTTCTCCAAATCCACTCAAATGCAGCTCTGCAGTCGCTGGGAGGGAATCGGTGCGGTGCAGCAATCAGCCACGCAACAGACTCTGATTAGCTTTAGACGGCTTCATTAGCACAGAGGAATGCCTTTGTTAGCCCATAGAGGTTTTTTATTAGCTCACAGAAAAATGCTTTCATGGTGATGTGTCAGAAACTGACCAAGGACGATGAACCGACTCAGGTAGTTTCTGGAACAAAGTTAACACGTGAGCTGCTGTGGAGGCAGAATGAACACAAATACAACCCAGAGCCGACCGTGCTGACGCTCAGCCACCGTTTACCCAAACCTGTTAACTTGCGTTCTCTCTCTCTGTCCTCTCCAGACTCTTCCAGGGGCGAGAAGAAGGAGAGCAAGTGTCCGACGCCGGGCTGTGACGGGACAGGTCACGTGACGGGTCTGTACCCGCACCACCGCAGCCTGTCCGGATGTCCCCACAAAGACCGAGTCCCGCCTGAGAGTAGGTCCCACTGCCTGGATATTGTTCTGCACTGAAAACACTCAGATAAGAACAATCTGACAAGTCATTTCAGACCAAACACAACTTCAGTCTGATGCTTCATAAATCCAATTACCTCCTTCTCTTTACCAAAGTGTGTAGATCAAGATGAACCGCAGTATCAAGGCCCCGCCCATACACACACTTGACCAATCAGAAGTCAATCATGACGTCTCAGCCTGTTTTTATATCATCAAATAATGATTAAAACCAAACTGATCAGAAACACTTGACGACACTGTGTGACCCTCTGATGTCTAGAAAAAAAGTAAATCTCATAAATACGGAATCGTTTCTGTCACTGTTTTATTTGCTGTTTGATTTCGTTCACTTCATGACCTGAAATTTACTGAAGTATAAGTTAATTTAAAGGTCAAATCAAGCAGTTTGGTTGAATATGAATTATTTAAAAATGACTTGTTGGATATTTGCACCTTTGTCGCAGTGAGAGTTTGATAATGTCGAGCATGTTAACCGTCCACCATCATGCACCCGTCCTGCATGACATCTGTGTCCTTGTGTTGAGTTGAGTTAAGTGTTTTATTGATGCGTCAGGTTTCACTCAGTGAGAACGACTGTGGAGCCGAAGCTTTTCTCTTCATTCACGAGTGTTTGTCATTATAAAAATCTGAATTTGAGGAATGTGTGAGAGAGAATATTTGGGCAACTCATGGTTTTAACATCTTTTAGATCATTAGAGGAACAAAAACTCAAGGTAAACTCTGATAGATGTTAAATATGATCAAGGTTCTGTGTTTCAAATAGCACAGCACTTTGAAATCTGATTTTAATAGTTTCAGGTTTTATGTTTACTGTGGCACAATCCTGTATTTTTTTTTATTTTTTTGGTTAGTTTGTGTGTCCTCCTTTACTTTCTTTTCTTCCTCCTCATCACACCTGCCTGATGTCTGCTTCTGGTTTCTGTGCCGCTGATGTAACGTGAACAGAGTCAGTGTCACTCACACGACCACCAGAACACGCAGCAGCTTTAGTCACACACACTGAAGTCACAGGTAAAACTCAAGACTCAAGTTTTATCTATTTTTTTCAAGTGATGCTCACGACGATTATTCCCAATGATGACGTAGATTATTACTATTGTTATTGTTTCAATATTTTACAAGTTTATTTGTTTTCTGAAAGTTAAATTTCAGTTTTCACAAAGACAGAAGCAGTAGATCGTCACACCGCTCCAACCAGTCCAGCTTGATATATAAACATAAATAAATGTAAAAGTCTATAAATAAATACGTATTTATATTTAAGTAACTTTAAA